TATGCTGCGCATACTCAGGGGTACGGGCTCTGCTTTGGGGTTGTTTGTTCTCCCTTTGTTTGGCTTTGAAAACAGGGCCTGTGCAAAGAAACGCCCACCGGCCTGGGACCTTTTGACTTCAAGCCTTGAATCCACAGCGAGCAAATGAGGATTTCCCAAAATTTGGGGGTCTCTCTAATAATATTTTGGGGTCTATATGGGATCCCCCTGAGCCCTTTCCAAGGAGCCCTCTCCCTTGTGCAGCCTGTTCCGGATCGGGAAGCCACCAAACAGGCTGCAGGGCCTTTACAAAAGAGCCACGGCCACGCACATTTTTTGGAGAGGCTATGTGAAGGGACCTAGGTAGCTAATTGGTGTTCGCAATGGACTACTTCTCACAATGTTTTGGCCATTTCTTGATGTCCTGGTTTTGCAAAGGGGGCCGTTTTGTGAGGCATGCGCTTTTCCTGAAACTGTCTGCTGTGGTTGTGGCAGTGATTGAGGACTTGGATCTTGAGACAGGATTTGATTTACTACAATCTTTGTGCATTTGTTAGGGGGCGGCAGATCGTAACAACTCCACCAATAATTACCACGCTTAAGGGAAACACGTGCAAACATCGGCGGCAGCATGCCAACAATATCCACAAAGCCGGCTGCAAGAATGCTTTCCCCGGAGGCCATCCAAAGGAATGGCCGCTGCCTTGCTTATGCAACATGGCAGCATTGGCAGCATGTGGGGTTGTTTGAGAAAGTCTCCAAGCCTCAGAGCTTTCTAGCGTTGCTAGTGTCCCATATTTGCAAGCTTCCCGCCATAATCCGCTAATGTTCAACGTGTTCCTATAGCCGAGAAGCTACAGTAAGTGTCCCCTCATCAGCTCTAAGCGCACTGATGCAAACCCGAGGAAGATTTAATAAGCACTTGCGCAACCCCACTACCTCGCCTGGAGCCTCGTCCCGTCAACCGTGCAGAACCCCAGAGATGTTATGAGCCGTGAGCGAGGGCTTCAGCACTCTCCTGGTTTCCTTGCAAGGTGCTAATTCCCAATCAGCTACGGACGATAGGTCTTGGTTATATTTGCGATTCATACAGCGATCTTGTTTTTTTAGGTCCAAGCGTCTGCACTTCTTCAGACTGCTGTTGTAGTGCAAGACTTGCGAGCTGGTCCAAATACCGGGGCCCCTTTCTCGCAGTTTCCTACCAGGCAGATGTAGTGCAAGGGGGTTCAGACGGGAGATGTTTTGCAAGGCGCAGAGCGCGCTCCGGGAGGATCGAGAGCTCGTCAATGAAGCCGTGGCTTGCATATCTGTAGAGTTTCAAGGATTAGGTTTACGGTTTTCACGCGACATGCGATTTTCCTAAACCGGTGCTCATCTGGACTGCAGGACAGTTTGTCCAAGGCTCATTTCCGATCGGTTGCACAATTGGAATGTATAGCTTTCTGTTTTGTGGCGTTTCATAATTTCGGGTAAGAGCAATGTCGATAGCTTTCGGGATGAATTCGCCCAACATCTCAAGTTCTCTGTCTGGCTAGCAGGCGGCTGGTGTTTCCGGTGAGAGTCACCTTCAAGAGGGCATGGGGTCAAGGACGAGAAATTAACATCCATGCCGGCGGCATCCAAGGTGCGGGCCAACATTGGCACCTGCTCTGGGCTTGTTTGGTCCCGTGGCAGAGCTAGCTTGCGAAGGGTTGCTGCATTCCGCGGTTTCAGAGGTAGGTCTCGAACATTGTTAGTGCTTGTTCTGAAGACAGGTAATGCTTAAGTGAAATGTGGAACACGGTTGTTGTTGCTTTAAGTACATTCTTCTCATGCATTGCGGGGACCGCCTAGATCGCATACGCTCAGGCGATGTGATCCAAAGGAGGAGGACGAGGTTGACGACCTGCAGGACTGGCAATACTCTATGCTCATAACGTTGTTAGGCTACCATTCTGGAGGTTTGAGTTTTTAGATCCCCAAGTGTGAGGCCCCTTTTCGATACAGTTGGCAGCTCACAAGGTGGTCCAAGACTAGAGGGCTCAGCAATCCAGCCTTCTGCGCCATGTGAAGCACCAGCCATGTTTCTCCAGGATGATATCCCAGAGAAGAGGGCCAAGGCACATCTATTTTTTGAGCGGCAAAGTTTCCCTAAGACTGCAAGTCGATGGTGTCTCTTGACGGTTTGCTAGTGGAGGTCTGAGTCCTTTCTAGATCACGTACCAGCCTTAAAGCCTAACACGATGGGACATGCAGGCCATGAGGTGTTTTGAAGACTTGGCCTGTTTGTTCCAATGCTTGAAGACAGCCCAGTTGGTGCATTCCTTGCATCTGCCAGAATTTCATGCTTCAGGGATGTCTCTTTCTAGATCCCTGGCCGGAGCATAGATCACACTATGCGTGCCCTACTCTTTCAGACCCCATACCTTGATTTTGAAGCTCCACACGCTCGACATTTTGGGATTATGGGGATGAGAATCCCAGCTCCTGCCCGCAAGCAATGCGAAACATGGCTGCAGTCCTTCATTAGTTTCTCCCCTGAGCCTTAACTCCTTGCCCTTGATTGCGTACGTCAAGCTAAAACCCTCCAGGCAATAATCTGAAGTGAGTTGCCAGGCCAAGGGCAAGGCAAAGAACCGACCAAAGGCCAGCAAGGACAAAGACAAGGCCCTGCGTTTTGATGACGCGTCTCCTTCTGACCATTCAGTTAGCCTGATGCGGGAGAACAGAAGGTTTCTAGACGATTTTTTGCAACGGTATATGGCCATTCGGCCTTGTCAGAAAATTCTCAAACAGAATTCTTAGATGTGCCATGTACCTTTAACTTGAGCTTTGTGCAGAGCTTCTTGGCAGTGGAGTGATGGTAATCTCGTGATCATGGTACAAACTCAGAACCTTGCACTGCACTTCATCTATATTCGGCAGGCTTGTGCAGAAGCTGTTGCCAGTCACATGGTCTTTTTTCCTAGGACAACTCACATATCCCTGATAAACAACAGTTGGATCTGGCAATCCATCACTTCATCAGGCTACCGGAGTAATGCCGGGGTGTACCCGCTCTTATTTGGTTTTGGGCAGCACATTATGGGATAACATCTTTGATGTATACTTTTCAGGTCACTTCCCATCCTCACAAAAGCCTGTGCTTATCACTACAAAGTTTCTACAATTCATTCTGAATACCGAGCTCCGAATGAAAATAATTTCACACAAATGGCGCGCGGAGGCCGACGAGAAGTCGAAGAGTCGCCCGGGCAGTCGGCCGGGCAGTCGCCCAGGAAGTGCCGCTGCGCCCAAGAAGAGCTGACAAACTGCGTGAGAGTGACATCTGGGGTTTTCTGCGTATTGTTGAGAACTAATTAAGGACCTAGAGGTTAGGGCCGAGGGCGTGGGGCTAAGGATTAAGCAGTCGGTGCTTATGTGGAAGGCTCAGATCACCAATGTGCAGGAAGGCTTATGCTTGTGACTCCTGATGATACGCACATATTGCGAGAGGGAAGCCGCTCCCCCGTAGTTGGCTGTTGGATGTAGTTTTTTGCAGCCCTGGTCTTGAAGTTTAGAGCTTTCAGTTTGCCTCTTTGCCAAGACTTCTCGTGTTCTTCGCATCGCATTCTGGCGTGTTTTTTGGCTAATCGAATCATTGGCTTCAGACGAACCGCAGACGCAGCGTTGTCCAAATGTAGAATATCTAGGCTTAGTCGGTGAACTCCAGGCCTGAGCCCATTAGGATGTATTCTCCTGGCCGCCAAGCCGTGTCAAGTTGCCATTGCCAGCTCTGTTTCACCTCCGTTGCCTGCAGCGTGTGAGGTGTGAGTGGCCCTGGTCTGTTAACTGTGAACCTGGTATGAGAGTTAGACGTCTTGTTTTAGTAGTCTGATGTAGTTTTTAGAAGCTAGAAGTTAAAGGCTTTGAACTAGCCGCCAAGAAGATATAGACCCAAGCGCTCGAACTTGTGCACCTTGACAAATGCAGCCTGCTTCCAACTGCAAAGAACACTCTCTTGTAAAACCGCCAAAAAGTTCTTGCTTGTCTATTATTCGCGCGAGCTTAAGGGGAGTTGAAGTTTCAGCTTGCAGAACTCCATGCGCTTAAGCTTGTGCGTTGATTGTGTGTTTCCAAGTCTGTCTCGCTTTGCAAAGGCTGGGGTCACCTTTTAGGGTTCTGTCGTTGTTGAATCCATTCCTTTGTATAAAGGATACGCCGCCAGAACAGTGGCAATCGTGTCTACACGGTAGTAATGAATAGTTGAGCTTAACAGTGACAAGCTACACATCTTCGGGGCCTTGCCTCTTCACCACATGCGCACGTAGGCGAGTTTCACCTGTGTAGCTCGTCCGAGGGCCAGATGCCTCTGGCTTGCACGCCGATTCTAGATGCGGTTGCAAGTTGAACAAAAAGATGCCTTTGTTGCGGTAGTTTGAAAGTTGTGCTTGTGGAAATGACAGTTTCAGAAGGGCTTGCGTGCGACTCGTTTCTGAGGAGCTGGGGCATAGTCAAGTTGCACATGCTGTCGCAAGCAAACAGTGAGGATTCGGGAAGCCAACAAGCAGTGCGTTAGCCGCTTCAAATTCAGGGGCAGCTGGAGACATGGCGAACGCCGCTCAATAAAGGCATGTTGCTATCAAATACTGCTGCCAGACTTCACACAGTATCACATTGTGGCCAATTGCTCAAAGGGCGACCTCCGTGCAATTAGTGTTGTGCAAGGATTTTCCTATCAGCTGAAGCAGCTAATCAGCATCTCCCGTTTGAGCGTGGGGCTAAAGATCGTGTCCACAATGAGGCATGCAGCTCTGGAAACCCTTGAGAACAAGGATTGCAAAGGCCGAAAGCCCAAGACCAAATCCAGAACCTGGCGCCTACTTTCAACCGGTTGAGGCTTCAATCGAGGAGTCTGGTTGCACCTTGAGTAGGACATCGGTTCCAGTTCCTAATGTCCTGCCTTTGTCAGGTCTTTATTCTTCTTTTCGCTTGGTGATGATGGTAGCAGCAAACATGGCAAGGAGTTCATTCTCTACACCAGTGCTGCAGTGCTGTGCCAGGCACTGCCTTGGCGGCTCTGGCCACATTTACCCTAATTGGAAGCGCCTGGACCCAAGCGAAGTTTTTTTTTGTGATTTGGTTGAAGGTTGTTGTGTTTTGAGGCGTATGGGGGATGCAAGTTTCCCGTAGCTGATCATTCCTGCGCCTCCCCGACCCTTCCTCTCCAGTGGCAGTGGCTGAGAATGTCCGATGTATTGACATTTTGCTGAGTCTTAGTCTCGATTGTAGTTTGCGCCGTTTCAGGGACGAGGCCGCAGCCGCAGGAGGAGCAGAAGAAAACTATCGCAAATTCAAAGCTGCAAGTCTTTTTGTTGACCTCCCTCGTGCAAGAAGTTTCAAGACCTTCCACCCTTGCATTACAATCTCCTCTGTCCCAACCAAGAGAATACAAATGCCCAAATGCACAGATTAGGGCCTTCTCGACGTCTTTGTATGCGATTCTCTGGATTCGGGATTCATAATGCTTAGAGCGAGCTCTCCGATCGGAGCTTGGGATTCCAGTTTCGCGCGCAAGCCATTGCGTAGGTACCCTGCATTTCCTGAGTAAAAGGTTGGGACTTTAAGTTGGAGGGTGGTGCGCATACATCCATGGAAACTCTCCTCTCATGCAGAGGTTGCCTGGCTGAGTTGTTTCCGCCTGACCTGATTCCCTGTCCGCCTTAGATCCGACAAACTGCAAATCCTACACCCTCCAACCCCTACGTACATCTAAAATGCCCAGACACTGTGGAGTTGGGAGATGGAAGGCTTGAAGCGTTACTTCCTAAACCCTAAGAAACATTTTTTTTTACTTCGTAAGCCCGGATCCCAACACCTTGAGCTCTTCCTTGTAAACCTCAAGCTTCGAATTTTTGCACACTCAACTCAAACACAACTCACCTCCCAGCCATGTTCAAGTAGATGGAATCCAGAAGCCAAGAAGCCACTGAGACACCTTCGGTTCAATCCATGAGGTTGAGCTCCACAAGCTTGCGGGTATGACGCCCGAGGTTGCCACTCAAAAGCCTAGGTCCTAGGTTTCGCAAGTGGACTGGAGTTTAGGGAGCTACAAGTCATGGCTTCAACAGTGAGAGCTACGATGGTCCGCCAAATTTGGACTCTCCATTCCTACATTTCATTCTTGTTGAAGGGATGCAGGTAGTAGCTTCCCTAGAAGACCCTGTGAAGGCTGCTGTGGGGACCGCTCTCAACTTGCAGACACTCGAGAAAGCCTTACAGCCCCGAAGCTGACAGCGGCAAACCATGCAGCCCCGTAAGATTCAAATCCTCTGCCCTTGAGTTCTGTCAGCCCTTTCAAAGCCAAAGTGCTTGAAGTAAGTCAGGGATCAGAATTTTGGCTGGTTGGGTTTGGGCTTTGGGATACACGGTTCCGGTGACCCTCAGCTGTCTTTGGCCAATAATCCTTAGAGGCAAACCCTGCGCTTTGAAGTCTGACCTGCTGTTGACCCAGGAGTCGTCCTCAAGTGCAAAGAGACATCTCTTTCAAAACGCCAAAGACACAAAAAGATCGCCTGTGACTGCGGTCCAGCTCATGCTGTAGCAGGAAGCCTATCATGTTTGTTATCAAAATGAGTTCCCCTATCATGAAGCGTTGAATCGCCCAGAAGCAACTTGCAGGCTCTGGGGATGATGTCTCGATGTCCGGGCATGTCTTTGCCTTAGCTTTAGAGTGTTGCGTTTAGAGTTTGGGACAGTTGCTTCCAGTATGTAGGTCACAGAGCTCAGCGGTAGGTGCTGCTCCAGGGCGCGGAGTGTTGAGTTTGGGGTTCAGGGGTTTGGGATTCATATAACGCTTGATTTCTTAGGTTGGCATCTTGCCGTCTCTTTGAGGTCTGAGGAAGATGGCTACCTGAGATGGGTTCCCGGAACCTTACTCAGATTTGGGTGGTTGTTAGCTTTGTCGTGTCTTAACTTGCCCTCAGAAAACATGGCTCATGAAGGTTCCCCCAGCTGAAAGGCCTGCGCTGTCCCTTGTGATTCGGATCCTACTCTGTTGGAGTGCCCTGAGCAGTTTTTAGGGCAATAATCAAAGAGCCATTCCCCTTTTCTTGCTGTCCTTGTCGGAGTTCAGGGGCGAAATTACCTAGGACACATCAAGATGCTATCTCCAGGATATAACGTACAATCCCAAAACCTGAATGCAGGATCTTCCGTTATCAGCAGCTCGTGTGAAAAACAGAATGCTGCTGCAGGCTCACGAACGTTGCAACCGGAGCTGCCAAAGTCGGAAGTGCAATGCAGTGAAAGTTGACAGCGAGTTTAGGGTTCCTCGTTCAGGCCTGATTAAAAAGGATGAACGCATGGTTTTGAGCTAAGTCCTAAATATTCCCAATCTCTATGCCCTGGTGAGTAATTCCATCCTACTGTCTGGCTTAGACACAGAGGTATTCAGCTCTTGTCTTGCCAACTCATACCAGAATATGACACAAGCCCTAGACCCTAAACCGCGCACCCTAAACCCTAGAGGGGGAAAATTGGTCCGAGAAAAAAAAACCTAAACTCCACCCGTTAAAGTCTAAACCCTAATTCAGTCAGAATGAGGAACCCTAAGCCACGGCTCCTGTCCAGAAAGCGCCGTGCCACCGGCAAGGACGAACAAGCAAAAGAGTTGTGGTGAAGAGATGCCAATGGAAGGGATGCTTCGGGATTCTGTAGTGCTTCTGGAAGAGTTAGGTCAATACTTGCATTTTCATACAGAACACGAGAACAAGAAGGGTATTGTATGTAGATGCCTAGCAGCAGGGTCCGTGAGCTGGACTAGCTAGCTACCTGTCCAGTCCCATGGGCATGCACATACAGGAAACGAGTATGAATGAGATTGGGAAGCTCTGTGAGATCTCAAATCACGCCTTAGCAATTTCTACTCGTTGCAAAGGCTGAAGAAAACCCAAGACCAAATCCAGAGCCCTCGCCTCTACATTTTCAATCGTTTGAGGCGCCTATTGAGGAGTGGCTGCACCTTGAATAGGACATTGGTTCCAGTTCCTCATGTCCTGCCTTTCTCAGGTTTGTTTTTTCAAGTCAAGCGTAAACGGAGTTTTACTCGCCACAAAACCGCGGCGCATTTGGGCTCTTGCTTAGTGTTCGTGCCCAGAGGGCGCAACATTCCATGTTGAGCCGTTGCTTGTGAACAGTGCCAGTTATGCCGGTGACTCAGAAAAGGGTCTCGAGTTCATTGCTTCTTAGTGCAGAATTCCGGGGTTAGGTAGAATTCCGGGGTTTTCTCAGGATTCTGCAAGGCCATGCGCCCTGTTGCCTTTTGAACGGGCCTGTGGGGAAGGATTGAAGGCTTGGGATGCGGAACAAACTACTACGTCACATTCCCCTCAAAACCTGAGCCGTCAGTGTGACGCAGTTGGAAAATCCTGTCACATCAGCACCCAACCCCAGGATCCCCAAAGGCCTCGGCCATTCGGTGGAGGTGGAGGGATTTCGTGAAAGGCTTAGAAGCCCCATGTGAAGTAGGTTGAACTGGGGGCAAAACGAGGAAGTCAGTCGAATCCCGCGTCAAGGAATGTATCCTGCTGGACAGTTGTCCTGCAGGCTCAGAGATCCTTTGCAATTTCATTTGCTCCTACATCACCAGCTGGGTTTTGACGCGTGCTGCATACTTTTGCGCAAAGGTGGAAAGAAGGCTTAAGAAGTTCAGTCGAGAGTACAGTAAACACATGTGCATCCCTGCCCCTATAGATGCCCACCAGAGTTTGACGACCTGGGCCCCAACTCCTTCCAACTCCTTCAGTCTGGCCAGAACAGCGGGATTCTGGACTCTGCAATCCGAGGTCTCTCCATGCTTGGCGCCAGGTGGGTTTTTCCTGCAGCCTGGGTGTTACAGGAAGCTTTTGCTGAGGCTCTCTTGAGGTCACGTTGAGGCTTTGAGTTGAGAAGGGGTGCGGGTCCCGTGCACTCAGTTGCAACTTGAAAGCATTGATGCTTTTCAGCTAGGGGCTGGTATTGCTGCACAGATTACTCAGTAGCAGTTTCTCCTTGACAACTGGAAGCCGGGATGTTGCCATGCCTTTATCATGCGAGCACGCTTTCTTGCTCATGCATGATGCATGAGCTCGCGTCAATCGGTTCACACGGTCTAGCACGAATGAGATGGAAGGAGGTTAGTTATCAAGACGTTAACGGCTATGATATCTGCGAACAGTCAAGCTAATGGTACTGTAGCATCGCTTCTCAGATCTCTGGGATGGGCGAATTTATTGCGATTCCAAAGCGCATGCAGGCGCAATGGACACAAAATAGTCCATCATAAGTGCTGCTTGTAACCCTTGCCAGGCATGGTTACTGCTTTTCCTTCTAACGGTATGTCGAGCGACGGACGAGTCTGGACCTCAACACGCAGAGCTTTGAGCCTTGGAGTTTGATTTTCTCCACGGGATGCAAGTTAGGCTGAAGGCCCAAGGGCCCTGTGTCGATGTTCTCCCCTTGCATTCATTACTTCGGGAATTCTGGTCATCTGGATTCTTTTCCTTGTGCTGTGAGTGCGAATGGATGCCAGTGAGACAGTTTGAGATTGTAGAATAGTACTTTCTGCCTATCCTGATTAAACATGTGCGCGATGGTGAGGGTGTTTTCTACATTCTGATGGTTCTAAAGCACTTTTCACTTAAGCTTAGCTTTGGAAACCAGGTAGAGTCCGAGTGAATTTAATCGCTTTTCTGAGCCATCGCCTAAGAAATCAGTAAAGTATGGGCCCTTATGTTGGGGTTCCTACCTGTCAGAATGCAGGTCCCCACCTCCACACCTTTGATAACAGCAATTTTAGGTAAGCTCCTTTTTGTAGCCTAAGCTCTAGTTCACCTTGAAGACTTTTTGCCCCTGGAATTAAAGTTCTTTGGACATCCTAAGTGGTGCAAGATCTCCTCCACCCACGTAGCGCCTTAGCATATCTTGCAATAGCCATGCGAGTGCTCAGGCTAGATGCTGACTTGGCCGACGCTGAGGAGCGTGAGAAGCCACATGCCGGTCGCCCAGAGTTTGGATTTGGCTTTTTCTGCCTGGGAATCTAGATTTGGAGACCCCTCTTGATGTTGTTGGAGGACATGGCTTGTTGACATCACAAACAGTGGTCGCCGGGAGGAGTGATTGCAAAGTCAAATTCCAAGCCCTACCAGAAGCTGCATAGCTAGTCAGCTAGTCAGTCAGCCATACACCACAGACATACGTTGACACCAGTGATCTGCAGCATTAGCGAATTCATTTGAAGAAGCAGAAGATTACGGGCTCGAAGCCGCAACCTGAGCCCGAATCCTTCGTACAGCTCAGCAATTTGAAGTAGCTGGGCGCAGGGGTCTTCAGGATAAAAGGCTTCCCAAGACTCTGGCTAGGGATATCTGAGGTGAATGCATCACATAGCAGGCCGTTGGGTTTTTTGTGGCAAGAACTTGCGAGATTGAGGATGTACGGCCAGCAGTAAGGTAAGGGTCATGCTCCCAATACCCTCCACCTTCTGCTGCTATTATCCCAGTTGCAATTACTACTGCTACTACTCCCGCCCCTATCAGTAGTATTGCGGGTACTGCCGCTGATGCAGCTACTCGTACTGCTGCAACGATGTCAAGTACAACTGCTGGGAGATGACTCCTATTACAGCTACCACCCCTACCACCAGTCCTAACCCCTAAACCCTATACCCGAAGGCCTATTCAAGGATTCACTACAACAAACACCTGCCCAATACCCTTATCCCTAAACCCTATACCCCTAAACCCAAAACACCTGTTGCCAAGCCTTGTCTCAGGTTTTGGAAGTGGTGGAGCCAGAGAGTAACATGCCCGATCCCAACATTCAGATCAGGCAAGCTTGCCAGACTGATAGCGGCATCAGGTATTGCTGAAGGGCAGCACCGTTTGTATAGAACACAGTCTCACGAAGTTGTATGGGATCGTAGGGCGATACGTCAGGTATTTTGTCTTTCCAACTGTTTCATGCTCTGCCAGATGCTGATGCCTGCGCTATGATAGCTCATGTTCGCAAGCACTAATCTTTGAAGCTCTGTCCAAGCTTCCTGCGAACTGCAATGCTAGACAAACTCACACACAGACAGGGTTGTATTGTAGAGCTGGATTGCCCTTTAAAATTCGAGTTGTGCACTCCTTGTTCTGGCCATCAGTAGCCATTCGACTGCAGACTTCCCTTCCTTGGCCTAGCAAGTAGGGCAGGCACCATCGGAGTAGCTCAATCTTGCCGTGCGCTGAAGGCTATACCATCAACCTCCATCCCAGAACCTTGTGATAATTCCGTTCTCAGTGGTGGTGTGTAACGTAGCTAGTAGAACTTTGTCAAAGTGATTTCGGCTCTTAGTTGCTAGTCTCCACCAACCGAAACCACGCTGACACCAGGGTGCTTCAGAGACACGGCAGGGCCCCAGCGATCGCCTCAGACTGGTGGGGCAAATTCGTCTGAAGCTTGCACTGAACGCTATTGTTTTTGGAGTGGCTATCTGGGATGATCAACTACCTTCAGACAAAGGGGTGTTGAGCTGCCAAACGTCTAGCTTGTTCTTGACCTCAAGGTTAGGTCGGAACAAATATTCCTTCCGTGCCTGCGGGCGCAGCGTTGAAGCACCATGTGAGGTTTCCCGACCGATTTTTGATTCCCAGCACCAAGATTCCACTGGATGTCGATTGAAAGCATTTGTGTATTTCGGGAGCTCTGACCGTCGCAGACATGGTAGCTGCAGAGTCTTGCTGAAGATGGACTCCCTTGTTCCTGAGCAACCCAAGCTGAGAGTCCCACAAACACTGGGTCCTTCAGAACTTTGGGGGATGCAAGTGGGACCGCATGTCATTGAAGCATTGAATCGGGATGTGTTTGGGACGCAGCGGTCCACTGCGTGCAGCAGTCGTCTGATCATCCTTCTCAGAAGTGCAGAGTAAGACCTTCCGCCTGGATAGGTGGAGGTTTCTGAGCACTCCGCTTGGTACTTGATTCTCAGCATGGTTTTCTGGTGCCCTTTTATTTTAGAACGTGTGATGGCCTGGTTTTGATGAATGGAGGTTGGAATCCGCTTGCGATGGTTCTACTCCACGTCGTCGTTGCGAGATATAGTGCTCCTGAAGCATCCTGGTAGTATCGACCTCTCAAGCCCGTCAAGTCATCTCCAACTTCCCAAAACCTACAACTTGAAACCCTGCGGACTTGCATTTTGACATGCGTGGCCCCACATGATTTGCGGTAGAAGGTAAGTCCTGACTGTTTGAACGGGGCACCTTTTTCAAGAAGACACGAGCAGC